CCCTCAAAGAGCCGATCCAAAGTTTGGACAAATAGAAAGCAGCCAAACACTAGTGAACTTCCTACCCGGGAGGATGTCGATAAAGATAAATGCAAATTAAAGCTTACCAGTCAGACTGCGTTATGAGTTTGGATACCCATATGAAAAAAACAATTCACCGAATGCTGGCATAAATTGCCTTACCTTACAGAAGTGAGACATCAACCATAAGAACTAGAGCCCCATCGTCAATGAAGGCTAGGTGTGGAGCTACCAGGGGTGATAAAATAAAGAAAAATCCCGACTCCTATCCAAAACTCACAATCTCGTAGGAACTCCTCCTTCTCCGAGGGAAACTAAATAACCAGATTACGAGCAGGACCTTACAATTCGTAACATTGTACACCATATGGATCCCTGTGCTTGCAAAAAATCAGCCACGATGCCAGCGAGGAGAAGAACCTTATCAAGAGCTAAAAGGGCACGACCTCAACCGTACAAGCTCACCCGCCAGCACAATAAAACACCACTGTGCCTGCAATCAACCATCCCCACCAATCCTAATCTCAGATTCAACAAAGTGCCACGAGCATGCCTAACTCCCCCCATGCGCATATCGAATGCACCTGAACTCTATCCCCTGGTAAAATCACACTGCCGCTCACTGCAATTGTACAAACAAAACTCAATACGGAAAGCCAAGTTATTTTACCCACGTCTACCAACCCAAGTGTAACGCTCCCGAAACACCCCCGTCTCCCACCTTACGTCCATGTACCACAAAAAATGGGCACCACGCACGATTCCGCGCCTTCAATTTATGCCACAAAAACAGACATCACACAATTGAATCTGCCACAGTTTACCCATTATTGCTTTAATAACAATCCAATTAATCAAAAACCAGGCCATGGTGGCCGACGACCCAAATGAAGAGACAGAGGAAACGACCTTCGCCGAATCGCTTCGTGCCTCAATCCTACTAATAATGAGCAGAATTCGACTAACCAGTGTGGAAAAATCAGTGTCGACCAGCCTTTGCCGAAGGAGAAAATCATCCTACGCAAAATAAGATATGGATTCAGCAGCATGAATGGTGACAAATCTTGCAAAAGGTCACTGAGGATACCTTTCGCGAATGTAGCTCACTTCTACTAAAATTAAATGAGTAAAGCTTTTACGCAATGAAACTCTTGAGCCCACGACATCCGAATAGCATGGTAACTAAAATGCCAGCTTATAGAACTCAAGACACCTTCATTAAGCTTACTCCAGAATAAACCACGCTCAATGATACCTAGAAAGTCGCCAAGCACTGGCAATGAAGTGGCAACAATATTAGAGCATTCCCAAAATAAATCTCATAAAAAACGCCACTTCGCAATATACAAACCAGCTCATGTATTTGTCCGCACGAATTTCTTCTGAAATCGACCAACATTTAGGTTGAAAGATACTAAAAAAGTCATTAAACAATAGTGAACCTCTTACCATGATGGCGTTAACAATATCGTTATTGTTTTTACGCAGAGCATTAACAGCCTTCGATCGCGAAACGTTGGCCTGCTCCATAATTAGCTCAATGTCCTTAGCCTCAAGGCCAGTTTCATCGACTTCCTCATCCTCAGACTCTTCTGCAATAGCAGTCTTCGAGATAGACCCATCCTCCTTGGACTGGTTAACCTCTTTAGTCACGCCGGCAAGGGTTTGAGATCTCAACTTTTCCACTGCAGCAGCTTGAGCCTGAGTTGACATATCTTCAATTTTCGCTTCGCCAAAAATTATGTACGTATCGACGTTCTGAGCCTTGTAAACTTCAGCATTGCTAATGACAAACATAATTGCCTTGGCTTTGCGAATCGTGACACGACATATGCCAGGAACAGGCTTCAAGTTAAGTTTTGACATAGCTTTACGCGCCTTCTTTTCGCTGCGCGACTGTTTGCTAGTGTTATCATCACCGACGTCCGCCTTCTTGTCTTCAACCAAATCGGGAGCGTCTTCAGAATCCGAAGCTGATGACGACACCTCGTCAGGCTTTTTCTCAGAAGAAATCTGACCCTTTTGAGCCTGTTTCTTCTGGCTGGTTTTATTAGTCGCCATTACTTAAACTCGCATGAAGACACAAACAGAACAACATACCCAAAAATCACGACAGAAGACTTCCAAACGCACACACTGATAGTCATGACTGTTGACTAAAACAAAATGATGTGGCTGCAATAGTAGTTCAAATGCATAAAATATGTTAGAGTAATGCATTTCTTATTGTAACTTTTTGTTGCTGTGTTAGCCACGTATAATGTTGTTTGTAAAGCACTGCTGTTTGTGTTGACTTTTAAAAATTAAGGCTTCCACGTGCTGGAAACGTTCCCAACGGAAAACAGGGCATTAAAATTAAAAGAAAGATGTATAACAGGGCGTTTAAAAACGGTAAGGCTGCCGTCGTGGAGAGAGGTTTAATAATCGCTGATATGATGTCCATCCAATCACTCGAGAGTTAAAATAGCGCCGAGTGCAGTAAAAACACTAATTATTGTAATGCGGTAATGCTGTTGTTTTAATCAGCCTCATAGATCAGAAGTAGGATGTAGAGGCGATCATCGCCTCAAAGGGCCCGGCTGACGCTTAGGTTATGTTTCTCTCACTCCCTTGAGATGCCGAATAAGGCGTTAACAAGCAAGCCATCTCTTAAGGATGCGCTAGAAAAAATTTAGGCGACGATGGGGTTGTTATATGAACAAATAAGAATAATTTTGATTCATGCAGTCTAACGTCCCGGGACTCATTCATAAGTAACGGAAGGTGTGGTACATGGCTAAAT